TTGCAGAGTGACGGGGGGCACCAGGGCACTGCCGAGGGGCTGGGAAACACCAGGACATTGTAAAGAGTCTGAGGGCAGCAAGAGGATTGCAGAGGGTCTGGGGAAACCAGAAGGCTCCCAGGCAAAGAGTCTGGGGGGCACTAGGGGGTTGCAAAGGGTCTGGGGGTGCCAGGGGGTTGCAGTAGGTCAGGGAGCATTGGGAGGCTTTGAAAGATCTTGGAGGGGAGGGTTGCAGAAGGGTCTGGGGGCATTGGGGAGTTGCAGAACGGTCTGGGGGTTGCAAAGACCCCAGAGGGCACCCAAAGTTGCTGGGGGTGGTGGGACCCCTTCCCTCTCCAGGATCCTGGGGGTGGAGGGCTGCGGTGGAGGCTGAGGCCGCCTTGGAGCCGGGGAGGCGCCGGGACCTGCCCCATGGCAGCCGATGCCCCCAGAGCTGTTTGGGTCGGTGGAGCCCATCCTGGCCGAGCTGCAGGAGGACGACGTCACCGTGTGGGTGCTGGGCRACGGCCCCTACCCGGCGGGCGCCGTCGCCCTCCAGCCGCTGCTGGACGAGGCCTCGGACGAGCTGGCGCCCGAGGACGCCTGGGTGCCCGAGGACATGCAGGACACCTGCCTCTACATCTTCACCTCGGGCACCACCGGTGGGTGCCGCCGGGGCGAGCGGGCACCGCGCGGCGCCGGCGAGGCGGGAGCCGGGAGCTGACGGTGCCTCCTGCCGCCGCCAAGGGCTGCCCAAAGCCGCCCGCGTCAGCCACCTCAAGTCCATCATGTGCCTGAGCTTCTACGAGCTGGTGGGCGGGCGCAGCGGCGACGTGGTCTACCTGGCGCTGCCGCTCTACCACCTGGCCGGCTCGCTGCTGGGCGTCGTGGGCTGCCTGGGCATCGGTGAGCGCCGCGGCCGGGGCGCGGGCCGGAGCGGGAYGGGGCGCCCCGAGCTGCCCGCGCCGCCTCCCCGCTGCAGGCGCCACCTGTGTGCTGAAGGGCAAGTTCTCAGCCAGCCAGTTCTGGGACGACTGCCGCGCCGAGGGCGTCACCGTCTTCCAGTACATCGGGGAGCTCTGCCGCTACCTGGTCAACCAGCCGCCGGTGAGCGGCCGGGGCGCCGGCGCGGGCCCGGCAAGGGGGGCTGCGCTGCTGACCCCCCCCCCAAAACGGGTCCCGGCAGCACCCCGGGGAGCGGGCGCACGGGCTGCGGCTGGCGGTGGGCAGCGGGCTGCGCCCGGACGTCTGGAGGGCCTTCGTGCAGCGCTTTGGCCCCGTGCGCGTCGTGGAGACCTACGGCCTCACCGAGGGCAACGTCACCCTCTTCAACTACACGGGCACCGTGGGCGCCGTGGGCCGCAGCAGCTTCATCTACAAGGTGCCGGCGCGGGGCGGGCGGCCCGGCCGGACCCCCAGACCCGACGCCCTCCCTGAYGCCGCCCCCTCCCCAGCTCTTCTCGCCCTTCGAGCTCGTGCGCTACGACGTGGCCCGGGGCGCCCCGGTGCGCGACGCGGCCGGGCGCTGCATCCGCGTGGGGCCCGGTGAGCAGCCCGGGGCTGGGGGGGGCGCTCGGTGCCCCCCGCGCCCCCGTCAGCGCCGCCGCCGTGCCCGCAGGGGAGCCGGGGCTGCTCGTGGCGCCCGTGACGCCGCGCGCTCCCTTCCTGGGCTACGCGGGCAGCCCGCAGCTCTCGGAGCAGAAGCTGCTCCGGGACGTGTTTGCCGCCGGCGACGTCTACTTCAGCACCGGGGACCTGCTGGAGCAGGACGCCGCGCAGTTCGTCCGCTTCTGCGACCGCACCGGGGACACCTACAGGTGCCGCCCCCCACCCCGGTCTAGGGCGGCCCCCGGCCCCCCCAGCCCCACGCAGCGCCCGTGTCCCCCCGTCTAGGTGGAAGGGTGAGAACGTGGCCACCACCGAGGTGGCCGAGGCCCTGCTGGCCCACGAGGCGCTGCAAGAAGCCACCGTTTACGGCGTCACCGTCCCAGGTACCGGCGCCCGCCGCCCGTCCCGGTGCCCCGGCGGCTGCCCCGGCCCCGTCCCGACGCGGCGGCTCTGCCCCGGCCCCCGCAGGCCACGAGGGCCGCGCCGGGATGGCCGCCCTGGTGCTGCGGCCCGGCTGCCGCCTGGACGGCGCCCGGCTCTACCGGCACCTGCAGGAGCTGCTGCCGCCCTACGCGTGGCCCCGCTTCCTCCGGCTGCAGGTAACGGCCGGGATGCAGCCCGGGGTGCTCGGGGTGCCAGCCTACCTGTGCCCAATGTGCCTGGGATGGTGCCCAGGATGGCACCTGCGATCGCCAGGGTGCCTGGGACGGTSTCCAGATTCCCCGGAGGGAATGAAGGGTGCCTGGGACACTTTGTAGAATGCCTGGAATGGTACCCAGGAGGGTACCCGGGTGCTTGGCATTCCGGGATGATGTCCAGGATGCTGGAAAGGTGCCCAGGAGGGTCAGGATGGTACCTGGGATGCCCAAGGAGGGTACCCAGGTGCTTGGCATTCCGGGCTGATGTCCAGGATGCTGGAAAGGTTCCCGGGAAGGTCAGGATGCCCAGCAGGGTACCCGGGTGCTTGTTGTGCCGGGCTCACGTCCAGCTGCCCGGGCTGCTGGGGGTGCCCAGGGTGCCCCCCGGGCTCCGGGTGCTCCCCTGCCCCTCGGCGCCCGCAGGAGCRCCTGGACATGACGGAGACCTTCAAGCAGCAGAAGGGGCGGCTGGCGCGCGAGGGCTGCGACCCGGCGCGCGTGGCCGAGCCGCTGCTGGTGCTGGACGCGGCGGCGGGCGCCTACGTGGCGCTGGACACGCGGCGCTGGGCCGACATCGCGGCCGGCCACCTGCGCCTCTAGGGCTGCCCGGCCCATCCCTCCCGGCCCATCCCATCCCATCCCATCCATCCCGGCCCATCCATTCCGCCCCATCCCGTCCC